CGTGGTTTATCCGCTTCAGCCTCAGCTTCTGCCTCCGCCTCAGCGTCCGAAGAAGAGGGACCCGGCGGAGGGTGTTTTGGCTGCGAGACAGCCGCAAGTGGTAGCGGTGGAGCTGTTGGTGCTGGTGCCGTAGGTGGTACCGGGGGTGGTAGTGGCGACAGGCTATTGATGCCGTCGATGCTACTACAGTCTGCTCCAACGTCCGACAATCTGAATGGATCGGTACGATCTGGAGATCGTGAATGCGATATATCAATGACTTCGGCAATAGATACAGGGTGCGATGCGGTTGGGGGGCCCGAGGACGATCCGCAGGGTGTGCTCAATTCAGTGCTTGCCAACTCTCCGGAGGAGATTGAGCGTATCATCGACCTCCCCTACTCCATAGAAGCACTGCGCTCCCTTGTTCAGGGTTACTGTCCTCCCAGCTACTTTCCTACCCTTGTCAGCAAGATGGACCTTTACTGTGCCTACAAAGTAAGTAATCTTATCTTAGGAGACCTTCCTTTTTCCGCAACTACTTTCAATCTACTGAAATAATATTTCGATCAAAGACATATATAGTATCTTTGTTTTATTCATTCTCTAGCCTAGTTTGGTGAGAAAATTGGTTTCGACGACTCTGCAGATTAAGTTGTGCCGACTTTTATTTCGTGTGAAAATGCGAAGGAAAGACATTCGCGAACCGATCTCACCAGACAGTGATAACGGATTGACCTTAGTCTGCTTTGGCCGAACCTTACTAGGACGCGTATTCTGACCCAGTTCTAGTAGCACTATCCTGTTTCTGTGGAAGCGTACTATGCCTTTGTCTGCCATTTGATAGACCTCATCAAAGCCCGACAGCATTCTCATAATATCTTTGAGCAACACCAAGTTATGATAATTAAACTGGCTTATATCTTTATCCCTCACATAAATTTTATCGAAATTAAGCGAAATACATGGTGCCTTTATTTCTTAATTATTTCCCACCTGCTTAATTAAAGAGTGGTTTGGCTAAAACCAATTTCTTTGACCATGACAAAAACTAGACTTAGACTAAATCTCGTTTTACTTTCTCGTATTAATAAGTTATTGAAGCTACGATAAGTATCTACTATTTTAGCCAGGTTTATATTCCGAAATGATAATAGACTTTATATACGGACTATATCAAAATCCCCTTAGATACAAATTAAT